TTTTTATACAACCCTGTTTTTATTTGCAAATTCACCTGCAATGATCATTTTTTTTAGTCCTATATGTTTGTTGACCATTATAATGTAGTTATTTTACATATGTACATCAATTAAATTTATTAAATTTGAATTTTTCATCCTTCATCATTTTATTTTCTAGTTACTTCCAAATAGGTTCCATTCCAATTAGATCTGGTCACTTCAGTCCAGCTTTTTTCCACCAGCATGGGCTTCGAGCAGATATCATTACCTGAAAAAGGATCTGTGGAAGATAATTTAATGGGTTTGGTTTTAAAAAATCCAAATTTACGTCTACTGGTAAATAATAAAACTGTTATCCGGGCTGATCATGGGAGTCTTAAACAAAGTTAAAATATATCCGGGGAGGTATTTAAATATCCTTAAATCTGTTTATATAATGTGCATAAACAGCTGTACATTTTAGGAAGTGGCCATGAGCCAGCTATGTCTGGTTTTGTGGGAGCTGGTTTTTTTAACAGCATCTGTTTCTGGAGAAATATTTGCCGCTCCTTCAAGTTCTGATATTTTTCAAACTATACTCGAACTGGGTATTTAAACTACACAAGCCTTGTCCTAATTATTATTATTACAATTTTAATTATTGTATTTTTTTTTTTAGGAAAAGACCATGAGCCAGGAATATTAATTATCATTCTCAACTACACTGGAGATAGCCTAAATTTTGGATTAGCAATTGAGCGTGCCAGATCTTATAATATAAATGTAGAAATGTGTATTGTAAATGATGATTGTGCAATAAAAAATTATATACCTTCAGTTGGTCGCAGGGGTTTAGCAGGTGCAGTTTTAATAAATAAAATTGCATGTGCATTAAGCGATAAAGGATGGTGCTTAAAAGATATTTCTTCATTCATTAATTGCATATTAGCAGAAAAAAGAATTAAAAGCATTGGAATATCCATAAACAAAGATAATGTTGAACTTGGAAAAGGAGTACATGGAGAACCAGGCTCAATGTTTCTGAAATTAGACAGTGAGGATTATAGGAGCATGGTTAATAAAATGCTTAATACTTTATTCGAAGATCTTCCCAAATCTTCCAAGCACTTTTTTATTTTAATAAATAATCTTGGAGGTCATACGGCCACTGAAATGTGTACTATAAGGAATGAAGTCATACTTCAACTCAAAGATGAATACAGAGACTACTTTAATAATGGGGTTGTAAGAATTTATTGTGGAACTTATTTGACTAGTTTAAATGTAAAGGATTTTCTATAAGCATTCTATTAGGAGATGAATTGATTACAGAATGCATGGATCATTTGTGTGATACTGATGCATGGAGGCTTCTTATATTAATTTAGAGAACTATTTATATGATGACATATTTATTAAAAATAAATATTCTATTGAAATAGAAAATATTGAACCGACGGGTCCAAAATTAAGCTCCAATGGATCTAAGGTGGCAACTTCACTTGATGCTTTAAACGTGAATATTTATTTAAATCTTTTTACATGAACTTTTGATCTTTTTTTTGATACATTTCAGATGGTTCATCAAAGCTTATATTATTTTGTGAAGCCTTAGTATCATGTGAAAAACAATTGAATATTATAGATTCAGAAGCTGAGATGGTGATACAGGTATACAATATGAATACTCAATCATTAATTGTTTATCTACCAAAATATTAATTAAAGTCAATAACAGGGTCAACAATTGCTAGAGGTGCAGCTGAGATTTTAAAGCTTCTAGAAACTGAAGCACTAAATTTAAACTATCCTGAAATATTTCTGATTCAAATTAGCAAAATTGCTGAAAAGTTTATGGGTGGAACTTCAGGTGCTTTATACAGCATTTTCTTTCAAGCTGCTTCAATAGTATTCAAGTAAATGAAATTCTTTCACACTATTATATATATATATATATATATATATATATATATATATATACATATATATGCATATAAAATTAATTACCTTATAAAGAATCTACAAAATGTTTGAATAATTCTGCTTTTAGGCAATGTTTAGTAATTAACTTAGCTTCATGGACTACAGCGCTGAATAATGGAATCAAAAGCAAAGCCATCCAAATCATGGCCATTCAAAAGTTGGTGAAAGAACTATGTTAGATCCTCTGCATGCTGTCCTGAATGCTTTAAATAATTCCATCCCTCGTACAGAACCTGAGGTGCTTATTTAATGTTGAAAATTAGGATTATTAATTATTTTTTTAATGATATATTGTAATCAGTAATACTATGCATGTTTTAGTAAAGTTGTCCTCATAGCATACAATGATTTCAGTTCAGGGCTTTAGAACAAGCAACAGAAGCTGCTGAACAAGCTGCACTTTTAACAGTTAATATGCCACACAAGCCGGTAGAGCAGTTTATTCAAGAAAGTCTGTGAATACACAATATCCTGATGCTGGTGCTCATGCTGTTGGAATATGGATGAGAGCTTTATGTGAAGCTGTAAGAACTTTCACAATGTAATTAATAATTAATGTATCTATATTCATATTTTAGTTAACTTTATATACATCTAGAACTTGTATGTAATGATTATTGGATTTAAATAAATGATCAACTTTCATAATAGAAATGCCATAATCAATATGAAAAGAAAAAATACTAAAATTGAAAAATTAATCTTTACTGTAGAAAATTTAATACAAAATGGTTAGTAAAACATTAATAAAACAGTTATAAATAATTAAATAAGGAATAAAATATCATCAGCCAACATAACTTGATTTTCATTTGTCATAATATCAACAGCTTGTTTAATTTCACTCTTGGAATACTTCTCTGTTACTTCATTATTTACATGCTCCTCGACTTTAACCATTGACAAAGACTGTGTACGCTCCTTTCTGAATAATTGTTGCAGAATTGATTTGAATTGCTGCAATCTTGCAGAAGATAACTCAACATGGGGTTCACTGTCTGTTGAAATGGCAGCTGTATTTTGAGAAGTTGATGGGGCATCTGAAACTGGTCGAGACTGCCTTGTAGCTCTTCGTGTTAAGTCACCTTCATCAGGAGTATCTACCATTTCTTCATCAGATTCATATTCATAAGGATCATGGCCTTCTTCTCCTGGTGGTCTCCTCTGGTAACAGAAAAAAAATGCATTATCAATTTTAATATTTTTATATAATGATTGTTTTTATAATTATGTAATATAAATTGCTTCTTACCGAAACTCTGGTTCTTTTTGGTCTACTTTGACTTTGTGTTTGGCTTGAATCTGAATCTTCACCACTATCTCGTCTTCGCTTTTTCTTTTCTTTCTCCAAAACCTGTAAAATGCACAGAACCACGGTTATTTTTTGTATTACAAACAAATTATAGTAGAAAATTTGTGATATATTTAATTACCTTTTTGAAGTATGCATATTGCACAAGTTCAATTGCAGCTTGGGCATCAACTTCAGTAACTAATTTAGACAATCTAGCTTTTGCATGTGCTGTGGACAACCGAATTAATGTTTCTAATGTACGCACAGTAACTGGTTGTGTCTGAAAAATTATGAATTTAAATTTATTTACAAACAAATGAATGGTTTCTTATAAATCTGTTGGATGAGATACACACTCGTGCAACATCAACTGATTCCATACTATCTTGAGATCGTAGCTTAGAGTATTCATCAGAAATTAGTTCTGAAGCTTCTTCAGTTAGTTTTGGCTTCATACACTTTGCAATATGTATATATTTTCTCATAAATGCTACTGATAATATTTGATCTCCGTTCGGCTTCTCTGCTCTTTCCATGTAATAAAGCATCATATTTTTCATACATCGGAGTTTCCACCCCTGTAAATTATTATTTATTTGGTACAGTGATCTAAACAAATGGTAAAACAAAGATGTAACTTACTTGAGAAGGGTCATGATCTGGATCCTGAGTAGACAACATGTCGACAGAGGAACCCATTGGCAAAACAGAGCCATCTTGCTCTCCAGGATTTCTAGAAAATTTTATTTGAGATTTATATTTAAACTAAATTCATTATTAAGGTGTTAAATTGAACTTAAAGATACCTATATCTGTGCATTCTAACAACATGATCAGATATCATGTGATCAGTTTCTCAGCATCAGCAATATCTAGTAAAACAAACAGTATATCAAAACGAGACAACAGTGAATCTTGTAGGCCAATATTTTCCATGGGTGTTTTATATTGATCATACTGAATAACAACAAATTAGTAAACCAAATTTTAGTCAAAAAAAACATATAAATGATATTCAATTCAATCTTACTCGTCCATAAACAGGATTTGCAGCTGCAAGTACAGAACAACGAGCATTTAAGCTAGCATGTATTCCTGCTTTGGCAATTGTAACTTTTCCTTGTTCCATAACCTGCATAAAAATTATAAATAACATTTGTTTTGAATAGACATTGCATCTGTAAATTAACTCATGAACAAATGTGTCTTTTAGATTATCATTGTTATTAATAATTACCTCATGAATAGCTGTTCGATCAATATCACTCATTTTATCAAATTCATCAATACAGACAACTCCTCTATCAGCTAACACCATGGCACCAGCTTCAAGTCTTCTTTCACCAGTTTCTTGATCAGTGGTAACAGCCGCTGTTAGACCCACACCAGATGATCCTATATGAAATATAAGCATATTATGAAGATTACCAAGTCTAATTACTTTTTTTTTATTTTATATGTAATACAAATAAAATGTACCTCTTCCAGTAGTGGGAATTGCTCTAGGTGCTGTACACAAACATATCTTAACAATTGAGATTTAGCTACACTTGGATCTCCAATTAACAAAATATTAATATCCTGAAAATTATAAACACAATATAATTATAAAGTAAAACAATAACAATAAACAAAAACTTATATTTACCCTCTAAGCCTTGTTCCATTAGGCAGCAACTTTTCAACACCGCCAAGCAATAAACATAAAATGGCTTTTTTAACATAGTGGTGTCCATGTATACTTGGAGCCAAAGATTTAGATAATAATGCAAAAACATCTGTTTTACTTTTTGCAAGTTTTTTACACAGCGCAACATCTTCACGAGATATAGAAAGGTTCTGATCTTTGTTCAATTGTGATACATTATTGGCTATCAAAATTGTCCTAAAAATTAAAAAATCAATAAACAATATTATTTTAGTGTAGATAGCTTGGAAATTAAATATCTTCTAATTTTGTTTATTAAACTAAAAAGAGACAACACATAATAAATTGATAATAATGAATGTGAAAATTTATTTTCTTACCTAAATGTGCCAGAAGTATATCCTGCTTGCTTTCCTGGAAGACACCGGTAATTTCCTACAATCTGAACTCTATCTCCAGGTTTACACCGATCTACTAAGTCATCATCACAGACTACATCAACAGAACGTGGCAATTGACCTGCAGGAGCCTTCTCAGGCATTTCTTGAATTGTTAATGTTTGATGATCTTTATATACTGATAATCCATACTCTGTTTCTAACAAATTGCCATCTTCATCCTAAGGCAATTTAATACAAATATTCAGTCTTATTTCTAGTTAATATTATAATCAAAAATATATTTACAAATTAAATATTTATATGAAAAATGAAATCACCTTTGTAGGGTAAACAGAGCTTGATGGAAATGCATCAAATGATGTTAAATCTGTATATTTGCGCTCAATAACTTTTTTGGTTGCATCACAATAATGCACACTTCTAACTATTTTTGGCCTGATCAATGAAACTTTAGTAACAATTCCTTCCACACAAACAAGATTTCCAAGATATCTGCAGTCAAAAATATTGAACTCATTATTATAATTATTTTATACATAAGGTATTATATTCTATTCCATAATACACTTTTGGATTATTATCAAAATATTAATGTAATGATATATATATATATATATATATATATATATACATATATATAGTAAACATCATAATTTAAATAAACAAAGTGAAATAACTTACCTAGATGTTAAAGATCTAGGTGTAACATGTTTATTTCCAAAACTTCCTTCAAAGGCAATAAAAAAATCTTCATGTTCCTTTGCATATGTCGGATCAACAGATCCAATGTATTCTTTCAATGCTCTCTGGAAAGCCAATTGCTCCTCGAAGGCATTGTTCAACAATGAAGTAGCACGAACTGGATTCTTTCGTCTCAAATCATTTATATTTACTATTAGGCGAACTAATTTATCTGATATCAAATTTTTCACTTGTTGCATATAAATTCCTTGGTCTTCCTAAAATTGAGCAATAGAACAAAATAGTAAACAAGGGCATAACTGAATTATTGAATTTTCAGTACATACTTCATCATCGAGAAAATCCAAATATTCCCTTTGCAAATCACGCAATCTTTGATCAACATCTGCATTTTCCATTATAAACTAATTTCGAATAAACTTAATTATATTATATTAAACTTAACAAACAATAGCTCGTTTTCAACTGATCCAAGCACGTCAAATACTTTTGGCGGGAAAATTATATGTATTGCCAGATGGGATTTTTTTTACTTCTGGCCTAATGAAAGAAAAACGTTTTTTTAGTCCAAAACATTGGACAGTGGCAACATTGGGAAAAAATCCATTTCATATATGAATTTAAAGGCGGCATATATTTGTAAATAAAAGTAGAATATACGTTGTTAACATATAGAAAATCTATTTACTGTTTCGTAAACAATTTTGCAAAACAAATTAATATATTATGAGAACCAATTATTGCTACATACTTGTGCCTAAATACATATTCACAAATAATATTTCTATCTTAAAAATTAAATATAATACAGTTCAAATATTCTTGTGTGGAAAAACTCATTATGAATCATTAATATTTTATTTACATATTACATGTTTCATTTCTCAGTATCTTTGTCCTTGACACTAAGCTTTGTCTCTACAAATTGGGTTAATTTTTCAAGTGCATTGTCTGCGTTACAGTCTTTATTATCTGTTGAAGGCTTTTTTGCAGGAATATTAGGCAGTTTTGATTCATCATCTGCTATTGCATCAATACCAGGTAAATCCGCAGTTAAAATATCTTGAAAATGTGATAAATTCCTTTTCATAGAATATGCATCTTCTCCATCGGCATAGTACTTAGGTTCAATCTCAACTACTTCAAACTGTAGCGCATTTGTATATAAATTTAAAGCAGCTCTATTGCTTTTTCTGACATGGAGTGATACATAATTTGCCTAAAAATAAATGAAAACTTACATTGCAATAAAGTATTTTATAAATTTAAACCAAATAAAATAGGAGGGAAAAGAAAGAATATGATACTACTGATCGTAGTATCATATATTACCTGAAAACATTCTACCATAGCCATTGATGCTTGATTCATAAGTTTTTGGGCAAGACCTAATCTACGATGAGATCTTTTAACAGCTAGTGAAGTAATATGTCCATGTTTCTCTTCTCCTTCCTCTTCCATTTTAGCCAAAACGTATCCTATAATCATATTGTGAATACATAAGTATATATTATATAGTTTTGTAACTATTGTAATAATGATGAAAGATCAGGACAACTTACCCACAATTTTTCCTTTGCCGTCTTCTGCTACATAACTCAGCTGTGGCCAAGATAATCCATGGAAAAAATAATATTTCATTTGGTAATTTTCAGGTAAGCATAACAAATTGCAATGCTGCATGTTCATTAAATCTTCAGGCTTGGCGCAACGTATATTCATTTTGCTACAAATAAAAAATTATATTTATTAAAATCAATCATTAAAATGCTAAACAATGTAAAAAAGTAATATATTATTTAGAGATATTTAAAGATAAATTTAAAAGCATAATTTATTAAGCATATTGAAATACTACCATTTTATTCAATTTTATACAATCGATTGAATGAGAAAAAATTCTTAAATAATATATAAGTATGTAGATTTAAAATTGTTGCATGTGGCTTATAATATCTTTACCTGGATATTAGTTGAAAATTTATAAACCTATATATCAATCCCTGCGAACTTTCTTGATTTTATTTCGGCTATTTTTAAGATCTACTACTGTAGAAGATTCTGACATGCCACCAAGTAATTCGCGTACAAATCTGAACCTGGATAAAAAGAGCTTCCAAACTATGTACCAGCCTGAAAGAAATTATGCATTATTAAAAAATTTGACTAAAAATAATAAGTTTATTCAAAAAATTAGCTAAGCCTAACTTTGTGATTGGATTTTTAGGTTATGTTAATAAATTTAATTTATATTATGAATTTAAGTAAAATATAATAATATATGATACAAATAGAAACATCTAATACACTGAAAAGTTATTTAAAATTCTTAAAACGAAGCTTTTAAATTATAAAAACAATTTAAACGCATGTTTAAGATATTTTTTTAATCAAGCATGACACTTACCTGCGGATACTAATATTAACACTATTAAGACTGAAGATATTATGGATACGCAGGCAAGAAGAAAATCCTTCATAATTAAAATGTTAAATTATACCTAGGGCAAGCTTTTATAACAGGCTATCAACAAAAGTCAAATAACATTTTTGATGTAAGCAAATTTAAATTACGAATGTCATGGAGCAAAGTTTGACTGTATATCAAAAGCTACAGTGCATTTCTACTTGATAATTTTGCCAAATGCCTCTTGGCACTTGCATATGGGAAAATACTAATTATGAAAAATTAAATTATTTTATTTGCATTTGCAGAGTCATCAGGTTCATTCTAAATTGAGGAATTACCTAGCTCATGTCACAGACCATAATATTAATTATTATTAATATAATATAAATCAATATAATATAATATAAAATAATATAATATAATATAAATTATTATTATATTAATTAATATAGGTGAAAAATGTTTAAATTTATTTATTTATATGGCAATACTTATGGTTTGCACTATAATTATTAATACAGTTTTCCAATATTTTTATATATTTGAAATTAAATTATAAGCATGTGGGTAAACTGTAATCACACTGCAATGTAGTGTGATTGGTATCTAATGATTTATACATTTAATATATGTATAATTTAAATATTCATTACATAGATAAATAAAAGAAAAGCACATAATATCTTATAAAAAATATATTTTTAATAAGAGATTTGTTGTATTCGTCAAAATATTTAGGCAATTTATTTAAAATTTCATATTTAAAAATATACTATGAAATTCTATTAATAATTAGCCTCAATATAACTATGAACATAGAAAATCAATTTTGACTTAAATAGGTATTCTCGAAATAAGTAAAATATTTATTTTGTAGATTATACTTCTGGGGTACAACTATATTATATTATAGTGATTACATATAATTTAGGTCTATTTATACATACATATATATATATATATATATATATATTCATTTAATCTTCGTCACATTCATCTTCATCCATAAGATGACTTAGTTTCAATTCCTTTTTATTAGATTTTGTATGCGTTTGTTTCTGTAAGACTGTTTTCTTCTTTATAGATTGACCAACAACATATTCAGGCATAACTACTTTCATATTTTTGAATGATTTTGTGTCACTATCATTATCCATAGTATCTAATTTAACTTTTACTGAAGAATTGTATTTAGGACCTACGTCTCTTGAAATATTTTTCATATTGTTTTGATCACGTCTATCTTCTAATTCCTTTAAAAATGTAAAAGCTGCTGATGCATTACTAGATTCTGACATGTCAGTAGATGAAATGTTTTCTAAGCTATATTTGGTCCATTTGTGGGGGTTCTTGAGAAAATCAGGTCTGTTGTTTGGATGCAAACGCTTAGGTTTAGGTGCTTCAGGTCTTTTAAAAATACTTTCTTTTCCTCTAAATTTTTTTGTAGATACGCTTTTGTTTTGTAAATCTTGGGGTTCGTCACATATTGAATCAATTTGTGCTTGTTGTCGGTTTATATTCATATTTCTTTCTACTTCATTTAAGTGTTGAAAAAGTGCATTTTGTTTGCTGATAAAGTTGTTGTTTCCACCAACAACAGAAAACTGTCCTGGTGTGTATGTCATGTTGGATTTCTATTTCAAAGTATTATTATCTGTTAACACAATTTATTATTTAATACTTTTACTTGCATCGCCTTCGATTAAAATTTAGTTTGAAATTCTATTCTAGTCTAGCTGTCAGTTGTATTGTGTTGGTAGCGCAACATGTGTGAACAATGTCATGGAAGAAGTAATTAGATATGGCCGATAACTGTTAATTTGAAAATGTGTTGAATTAAATAAAATATTTTGTAAAAATAATATATTAGATACACACATTAAAAAGCTGTTAAAAACTCTTTACAAATCAGTTTGCAAGGAAGAAAAAGGAAAGTATTTGTTTAATTATATTTGTATACGTAGCCCTATCGAGGCACAATGCGCTCCAGGAGTATTTATACTATCATTGATAAACAAATTATAGTTTATATTATATATTATAATAAGTGTAAATTTACAAAAATGAGTGTACAAATACAGTATTACGTGTGAATCTACTATAACGTGTTTAAATATATTACAATTAGAATAAATCTACTAACACATACTAAGAGGGCGTCCATTAATCACGTGAGGTTTACCACGTGATTAATGTATTAATTTATTAACTGATTTTTTTTAAATCAATTATTTAAAAAAATACCACGTATTGTCAAGGGGGAAGGAAAGTCCAAAAATCCTTAAAAAGTCGCTCACGTGATTAATGGGCGCCCTTTAATAAGTGTAAATCTACGAAAATGAGTGTAAACTTAATAGAGTAAAATCTGCGAAAATGAGCATAAATCTACTAAAATGAGCTTAAATATACTATACAGAGTGTATTTCTACTACATTAAGAGTAAATCTACGAGAACGATTGTAAATCTACTTTACTGAGTTATAAAATATATGTACTATACAATACGATCTGTGTAAATCTACCATAAGGATCGTAAACTCACGTGTGTGAGTGTAAATTTACTTAAAAAGTAAAAAGAATGTACTACAATTAGTGTAAAAATACTACAATAAATGTAAACTGAGTGTGAATTTACTATAATGAAAATTACTACAATGATTGTACATCACGTGTATCGTGTATAAGGGTTAATTTACTGGAATGTAAACGCTCATTACTAGAATTTAAATTTACTAACATGTTGATAAATAGTATAAATTTAAGTTGACATCTAACATACTACTGAATCAAAAACCAAAAACAAAAATAAACAAATTTTTACAAAAATTTTTAGTGACGTGTCTGATAGGCTTTATTAAAAATGCAAAATAATCGTTAATTAAATGGCTCGAGGTCGAGTTTTAATGAAGATATGAAGATCACACCAGCAGACAACAACAAATCAAATAAAGCATCAAAATGTGCAAAAAAGTGACGAATTGTTCAAAGAACGTAAATCGAGATAGTACGTTGGAAACAAAGAATAATTCAGTTCTTCCA